TTATTTATTGGTCTAAATATACATTTTTTTGCATAAATAGAATTTTTATTTGAATTAAATAAAAATTTATTTATAAATATTTATTTAGCCGTAGAAGAAATAAATTATGAAAGGCCATAAATTATTTCTTGTGGGTCTAATTTTTACCATAACTATTTTCTAGGTTAGTTGTTGAAAATGATTAAAAATCAATCTATTCTTTAAATCTGAATTAGTAAAAATTTTAACTTTAAATTAGTGACTCATTTTTTGCTTTTGTATTAGTTAAGTTTAACTAGATGGTAAACATTTTTTTTCTATTAGTTAAATTTAATTAATTCAAAAGCAAAAAGTTAGTCACTCATTTAAATTAGTTAAAATTTTTAATAATTTCTTACTAATTCAAATTTAGAGAATAGATAGAGCAATGTTTATATTTATTAACTTAAAATTTTGAGGAAACACTGTAAAACGAAAGGTATTAATTTAATACCAACTTTAGGTACTAAATTGTTATTTGGTTCTATTTTGATACCTAAAATCAGTACTGATTTAGTACCTTCTTTTTACAGTGAAACGATTGATGGATAATGATTTTTTGATAAGAAATAAGGATGTATCTTAATACTGACAATGCTAAAATGTCAATATATATATATACATATATATATATATATATATATTGAATTCACGTGATCTAGTTTATTGGAATTTCAACGAGAGTGCGAGGAAAACTTGCGACTTTCTTGGATTTATTCGTGGTCGCGACTTCGACCTGATTTATAGTAGCTGGGTATACGAGTTTTCATAGGCAAGTGGGTATAAAGTAAATCGTAAATGTTTCCGGCAAAACTTCTCTCTAAGATGGCGTTATAACATAGGCTTGGACTGAATATATCTAAAGGAATAAGTTTAGTTTGTTTACGCGCATCATGTATGGCTTATTCCCTCGTGGGATAAAAAGTACATGGTAAAAATGAAAATAAAAACAAAAATTCAACTAATGTTACTTAACGAAGCACCTTTTAAGTAATAAATCGACAATTGTATAAAAATTACTATTATTACCTATTATTATTATTAATAATAATAATATTAATAAGCTCTAACTCTCTTTGTAGGCTATTAAATTAAATTATAGTAAAAAATCCTTCATGTTTGAGGCAAAGAAAAATTGTATACATAACATTATAAGCAAAAAAAAAATGTATTATTTAATTACCTCAACTGTGACGTAATTAGATAACAAACTTCAAGTTTCCACAAGTCTATGACAAGAATAATGTGAAGTATAATTATATTTTTAAGCCTAACTGGCAACATCACTTTATTTTGCGCCCGGAACATCCCACACTGTCAAAACACAAATGTCAATTTAGAACAAGAGAGTTATCAATTCAGGTATAAAAACAAAAATAAATGAATGTCATTTACGCGAAAAATGTTCTAAATTGATACCTCTTTTATGACATTGTCTTTTTTTAGAAAGCAGCGAATATTTCTGTTATATCATTCTATTCAGATTTACTGATTTTAAAAGATTAAAAATTTTAATTAACACCTCACTATATCTAGGAAACGGTACACAAATTTTATTATTTTATTCTTAAAAAATTATCAATTTTAATTTTTAAAAGAATTATTAACATATATATGTATATCAATTTCTTTTAATATAGGTCTTATGTAATTAAAAATTAAAAATGTCTTTTTTCAGATTCAGTAACTGATTTAGAAATAAAGAAACCAGATTTCTTTTGCAATATCAGTGACAGATAATTCACACGATTGTCATGAAGAAATTAGCACATTAAAAAGGCTCACAAAATTTTACTAGGGAATCTTCCTATTCAAGACTGTAATGTATTTATTTATGAAAAAAAAAATTTAAATAACAACTTTTTTGTTTAATTTTGTACAAAATATCAAAGTTACAAATAAACTTATTAATTAATTTAATTTGTTAAAAAATATTTTATAAAATATTTACAAAAATAATAAATTAATATTCAATATACACAAATAGAAAAATTGTTGATTAATTATGAATAGACGTATATATTCAAGTATTATTTAATTAGCACTCATTTTTAATCTCACAAAAAATGTGATTAGAAAATCAATTTTAATCATTCTAAATAACACTAGCCTGAAATTTTTTTGTATACTTTAACTATTTTTAATGTCTATTAATTTAATATAATATAAGATGTTTAGACTTAAAATAAGTAATGATACAAATTTTTTAATAATTAACGCTTGATTAGAGTAACATTTAAAATTAGATACAATATCACGAATCACTAAAGAAAATCTTTTTAAGAAAATGAAAATTATTTTTAATGAAATTTTTTTGACATTATTTTGTGATCCAAGGAAATTATAAAGTTGAAATTTTTATGGTATTTAGGAATATAGAAAAAATGAGTTATAGTGTTTTTTTCTGTAATACATTTTGTTAAACTTGATAGGTTATTTGGAAATAATAACACGTATAAGATAAAAAAAATAGGGAAATTACATCAAATAGATTAACACTTTATTTAACAATTGAAAATTGGCACTTGAAGAGCTTAAATTATGTTTTAAACTTGAAATAGATCTGAAATGAACCGTACAATGTGCATACCGCAGGACCCATTTAGTACGACTACACCCAAAATGTGTTTAGGTACTCCAAGTACCTGGCTTTTTCCTTTCCCTTGAATTTTACTTTAACTTATTTGTTATATATATGAAAATAACATATTATCGTTGTAATTCCAACACATTTTGACCCTAATTTGAATCTTCTTCTTTTTTTGTTTTCTGTAAAAGTACATAATTTCTATGAAATATTGACATTTTAAGATTAGATATTTTTGAAAAAATTCTTTTATATTAAATGCAAGGAAAACTTTGTTTGTTTTTAAACAAAATTATTGAATCTTAGAACTATTGAAATTAGGAATAGAACGAATGAAAGAAAGAATTACAACAAATAATGTAAGATTTTATCAATGAATTAAAACATGCTTTTTAACTTTAAAATCTGACAAATAAGTTTACATTTAAATGGATGCAACTTTATTTGTATTTACCGCAGGGTTGCATTGGCACAATTTAACCCAAAATGTGCTCAGGTACCTCAAATACCTAGTTTTCCCTTTCCACCTACAATTTTTAATTCATATTACTAAATTTCACAAATATCGTTGAAACTCCAACAAAACTCTATCATAATAATTGGCTTACCTATTCACATTATTTCTTATAATAATAAATTTGGTTTATAACATATGAAAATATTGTGATAGTAGATTTAATAATATTTGAGATGCAAGTTGAGTTTATATATATATAGGTTGTTTTTCAATAACTACTTGAAAGCTGATGAAAAAGTTTTGGATGTTGAATTCAACAGGCGGAAAAGTTTTAGGTGTTCAGTTCTCAACAACAGGTCTTTCGCAGACAGTATAGCAATTTTTAAATTAGAATAGAAAACCGAAAATGAAAATTTGAATCAAAATTTAAATTATTAAATTTTTTTTTTCAAAAATCAACCAAAGTGTTAACGATATATTTGAAGAAAGTTTTAGCTTTTGTAATTAGAAAAACGAGTCTTAAAAAATATTTTATTTACCCATTTTGTATTATTAAAAGATCACTTTGTATTATGTGCAAACAAGAAAGAAAAATATAAATTAAAAATAATTTTCTGATTTAACTGATGAGAGTTGTGTTTGGACAATAAAAATATAAGTAAGAATATTTTTATGGCTTTAGGGTCAATGAATGAAAGAAGTTATACTTTTTGTCCAAACATGTCGGCCTTGATGTAGGCCCCTCTTTATAGTGGAATTTTATTCTGAAAATTTTGTTTTATTTTTAGTTTGATTTTTTTGTGATATATATGATTTTTAGTAGGCATATATTTATAATAAAACGAATTTTTAATGTTGATAATAATGTGATGAAATTACAAATTTACTTTGTCTACCATTACTTTAATATTGTTTAATGTATTTTTTTTATAATTTTTTAAAATCATTAATTAAGAGTCAAATTTTTAATGTTGAAGAAACAAAATATTGGATAGCCACACTAGGCTCCTAAGGAAAATAAGTTTTACTAAAATGAATCAAAAATCGGCAAATAGGGTTTGAATTGTACTCATTTAGTGTCAAAATCCGTTGACAACAAAATCCTAGTTGATCGGTTTCGCGAAATATACGTATTTAATTATATCATCGCAACGAGTTGATTTGGCATAATTAAAGATTTATTTTGGGATTACACAAGGTGATTTTTATGTTCCGGACCCCCTTCAAAATTTTATTTAATCTCATTTTTTAAACAAAAAAAGTGGAATTAAACAAAAATTTTTAGGGGGTCCGGAACATTAAAAGCACCCTATACACTAACAACTTTAAAAATATAAAGAACAAATTTTTAACTTTATGTAATTAATCCATTTAAATATGTTGCGAAAAAAATTCGACTACTGTCTTTTTTATATCCGAAATCTTTCATTTTCAACCTTAATCTTTTATTGGCTTCAAAATTTTTTTAAAAATATGTTATAAATCGCTTTGCCAGCTTGTTCTGACCTCTTTTATCCCAATAAGTAAGACACTGAGACAAATGCTTTAACATCACGTGGATTTTTAGCGTTTCGCTAACTCCTGTTTATATATTTTGAGATGCATTATTGTTTCCATGTCTTTTCAACGACTTTTCAGATATTTTAAATTAGTGATTATTTGTATTATTCAACGTGTAATGTTCTATTTCCGTTAGAGTTGTTTATATATTTATTAAAAATAGATGTTCTTTTGTTTTTTTTTTATTACCAACCTAAATTTTTTTTAAACATTATAACTTGGTGCTGATAACTGTGTGATCTAACATCGAAAGGTAATTTGTTACGATCAATTTTTTATATTTTCTTCTACATGGATATAAATTATGCTAAGGAGAAATTTAGTTTTGAATTTTATTCAACGAGAGAAAAGAAGATATGCAAATAAAATTGTACTTACATTTCATACGTTGCGGAGCGTGCTGTTTCCTGCGGGGCATCTGCGTCCTGCGGGGGGGCTCGATTTTCCTTGAGGCCTCCAGGTCTTCTCCAACTGTGACTTGCAATTTTCTTATAAAATCTGCTATCTTTATATTTGTTGAAAAAAATGAACTTCACAAAAAGGTTATTTTTATCGTGGTAATAATCACATTAAACACTTATCTAGCGTCACCAATAATTGATTTAACCTCAAAACCCTCATGATTATCATTCACAATCACAAAAACGAAACTTGTCACCAATTAAAAAAAAAACAAATGACACAAAAATTTCTTAATCTCCTCAGCTTTTATTTAAATCCAGGAGAATTCTCTGCACTAAACATCACAAGTTCATTTCAGTGTAAAAACTAATTTTCTGTTCAATGCAACAAGCGCTCCTCGTAATTTAAATCAACACGAAAATGGCGGTAAAATATAGTTAACCTTTTTCCACTTGCATATAATCCACGTTGAGGAATTTAGTCATGGAATTTGATAGTCGAATCCAAAAAAAAGTGTTCAAATGTCTTTTCAGAGACACGGGACAATCACTCAAGAAGGACAAAATAAGAAGGGTGAAAAATATAAAAATTGTAAAAAAAAACGAAAGACAAAAGTTTTAATTTCTTTCGAGTTTATTTTAAAGCCGTATCACTGGAGAGAAATTTTAAAGAGAAGAATAAAAATGAATTTTCTTTATTGTATATGACATAGTTAAATTTATAGTTTGGCGGTTGTCACTTGCGGGCGGGAAAGCCCAGTTGATTTATCACAAAGTCAAAAAGACTCGACATAAAATTTGAAATCGAGCGGGCGGCGGTCCAGCGCTGACTGACTACGGTCTGGCGTCGCAGCGGAAACGAAAATAGTGGGGGAAAACGATTACTCCCTCTCTCTCCCACCCACCCGCATTTGCACATCCTCGCGATCTCACTTGCTCCGTCTTCGATTTTCCCTCTCGCTTCGCGATTCTTGTACTCGCTCTATATATCCCTCTTTTCCTCCCCGCGCGCGTGAAAGAGTGTCTCGCGATGGAGAAGAACCACGTCCACTTGGTGAGAAAGGGAGCTTTGCGGTGAGACGCCAAGGGGAGGAAAGCCCACGAGTGAATGAGCGGGAAGAGCGCGCGACCGTCGGAACCTGCAGACTTTCTTAACTTTCAACTGGAAGTGAAAATATAGAAGATAAAAGTGCATTCTTTTTCAATTTTTTTTTTTTCATTTGGCACAAAATTTTTTTTCTTTACTTCAATTGGAATTTTCAATTTTTTTCAAAACTTCACAGATTCATCTTAAAAATGTATTTTACAAAACAAGTTACTTAAGAGATATTTGATTACACTTTGTGTCCCATTTTGAAACACTATTAGATTACTCAGAGTCGTCATGGTAACGTATAAGAGTGAGAGAAATAAAAAATGTTCTTATTTCGCTCACTCTTATACGTTACCATGACGACCGTACTTAAATAGCTGAGCTGTAGCCGTACCCTGACCTTCCGGTTTGACGGTATTGGTTGCTTTTCATAGTCCCCACTCGCCATTTGTCATAATTCTCCTCAACTACCGCACTCTGCTCTAGTGAAAATTTAATAACTTTATTGTTAAAATTAAAAGTTACTATAAAGTTACTAAGTTTTTACTAGGGCAGGGTGCGATAGTTGAGAACTATGACAAATGACGAGTAGAGACAATAGAACCCAACCTTGGGTATTGAAACAGATACTCAAAACATATATCGCATTTCAAAATGAGCGGTTAATGTGAGATACACTCGTGGTCAGATAGGTTTACACTTTTTTGTCCTTTTCTAACGCACGTGTTACCATGACAACACGAGTATTAGAAAAAGACAGAAAAGTGTAGGGGTCCATATGTACTTTAATTACGTAAAGCTTTTTCTTTGAAATTTAAACCCCCTCCTCCCTATATAACAAATTTTTGTATACATTAGCGCCATTTTGTTGTTGTATGTAACAAATAGCTTGATTAAAATCGGGCAAAGATGCATAAAAAGTTACTTTAGGATTATGATGCAAATCCAAATTATCTGAGATGACAAAATCGTAAACAAAGTTCGACGAGATATAAGTGACGATGATTAACACATACATACAGTGACCTTTTACATAGCAGGCTATTTTAAATAAAGGTTTGTGTCGGTGACACTTGAAAATAATAAGAAGGGATTGACTTAATTCCTTTATAAAAATATATATTTTACAGTTTAATTTGTCCACTTTTTAAATATCTTTGATGATAAATAAATGATTAATTAATTAATTAATTAAGATGTAAAAGTCAAATATTTATATGAACACAAAACAGTTTAAATATCTCAAATATATGGAAGCAAAATGTCATCTCACAATGAGACACACTTGTTTTTGCTATGAAAAAGTAATTACATTCTTTCGATTTTTGACTCTGGAAAATTAGAAAAAACTAAATTATTTAGAGAAAATGTTTGTCTTTTCGAAATTCAGAATTTACAAATTTTATTTGTTGTCTTCATATGTGTGGAGCGCCATTTGGTATGCTTGACTTACACTCTACCGTTTGTCAGTAACATCAGCTGATCATATAATTCTGTCAGTACCGCAGGAGATTATTTCTTTGCTCCTACAGTTTCTTTCAAAGAAAATCTTTCTTAAAAAAAATAATTTTAAAATGCAAATTCATTTTGACTTTTGATCGCTTGAAAATTTAAATGAGTTTAATTCACAAGATTAATTAATTACGATTCGACTATTTAAAACTATTACGATTATAAGAGAAAACAACATTTTAAGTTTAATCATATTATGTTTAATTCAAACTTAGTATATCTTTGCTATACAGACAAACATATTTAACATTACTTCAGAAATACATTTTTGTTGATAAAATATATTTTATTTAAACATAAATTTTCTTTAATTTAAAGTTTGAATATTCCATACATGAAAAATAATTTTTTAGATTAAGAATAAAAATTTTATTGATATAATAAATATAGCTTTTTTTCGATACATGTTGAGGAACTATATAGAATAGATAGAAAAGCAGGGTGAAGCAGGTGTCAAAATTGTATATTTTAGACGTTCTACTGAAATTCCAGTGAAAATTTACATGCTCCCATTCTAAACTAATCCTTATGTTTAAATCAAACATATTATAATTTTTATTCAAACAAATAATATTTTTAAAAAAGACATTTTTCATATATTAAAATAAAACTTACGAATTGTGTTATAAAATAAGTAAAATCATTCAACAAATTTCTATATTTAAATTAAGAATTGTTTTTCTAAGTGTAGCAATTAAATATAATTTAACAAAGTTTTGATTTTATTGTTTTTAAACGGAACAACATAAATTGTAAACATCAGTATTTACACCTTTACAAAATTTTTTTTTCTCTTTTTATAAAATGCACAAACCCAATTGATTGTCCGCATAATCTGACTAATAATAATAAAATTAAAATGCAATTATATTTTTATATAATTTTATTATAATAATAATTATATTAGTGTAATATAATATGTTATAGTATTATAATATAATAATAATAATAATAATAATAAATCAAGATTGTGCATTTCTGAAAATGCAAAGAAAATAAAATTTTCGAGTCTTAATCTTTTATCTATATAATCAGCAATATAATTTAATTAATGGAGAGATGATTCAAAGAAGTAATCTAATTATTAAAATTTTTAAGAATATTTAATTGCGGAGTTTATACATATTCAACATGAAAGAAACAAAAATTAATACTAAACGTATGAAATTGATCCAAATTTTTACATCAATTTGATCCTTTTTGGTATCAATTTGATACTTTTAAATTAATTGTGTAAATAATAAATTATTCACGTATTTGACACTGTGTGTTATTCATTTATTTTTTAATGACATTGGATTTGACTATATTTCTTAAAATTATTATTGTGCTTAACATATTAATTGAACTTATCCAGTCACCATAGAAAATAGGTTTTAAAAAAACATTCCTTTTTTAAAAAAAGGAATTCCACATGGAATATAATATTGAATGAAACATCTGATTTTGATTAAAGGATTCCTCATATGATAAATTGTGAGTATACCTTTCTAAATATTAACCTCAACGATATTGACCCCGTATCCCAGTCGAACATTTATATCCCATTTTTCTGTTTTATAAAACAAAACTGAAAAATAAATTTACTAAAAAATAATGAATTTGATAGATAGAATTATCCAGAAAATCTAAACTCAAACTATTCGTATATAGTATATATTATGAATTTTTTTTTGAACGAATAAAAAATTCTCGACAAAAAGTAAATATTTGTTTCAACCATAATTTTTATTAAGGTAAAATATATTCTAAAAATTTTAATTAAAAAGGAAAAATAAGAAAACATTTTTTTAACAGGGATAATAATGTTATTTAAAAATGGAAATTATAAATAATATAATGAATTATATTATAAATAATATGATGAATTATATTATGAATAATATAATAAATAAAAAAAAATGGAACAAGTAAAAAATCAAAAATATGTAACAAGACGACATAAATGAAAAGTAAAGATAAAAGTTTGAAATTAAAAAATTGTGAAATAAAGACACTTGGAATACACTTTTCATATAAGTTGTTAATTAAAAGAGTATCCGCAGGGATATATAAAACCATGAAGAAGGAACTTTTGCTACTGGACCCAAACTCAAAAGGCCCATCAGGTCAGATTAAACTCCATAAGAACAACCGTGCATGGAAAGGAGGCGGGACTCAAATCCTGGAGTTTAAGAGAGAAATCAAGAGGGGGGGAGATGTGAAATGCTTCCTCCCAATGCACGACGCCTCCTGGGAAGGGGGGCGCTGAAACTTAGCGGACGTAGTTGGTACTACAGTCGAACGAAACGATACTCGTGAATTTCTCATTTCCAATAAACTACATCTTGTTCTTTGAAGACCTTCTATGTTAGTAAGTACTTTATTCCATTATTAAGTGTTTCAACTTTCTGCAGTCGTAAATGCAACATTGCAGGCAATAAGTTTTTTCTGTAAATTAAGAAAAACAAATACCTAACCTCAAAATTGAGATATCAATGAGAATCTATTTTTCTTCTATTTTCAATGATATTTCATGTGTATTTCAATAAAATCAGGTAATACTTTATTTGTTGAAACAGTATATTCTATTGTTTTGTTTTAAATCGAGGTTTTAAGAATATAAGGCAAATAGGAAATGTTCTTGAGAATTTATGAGAAGTTTAGGTAACTTTCTATGTTCCCTCGCCATATTCGTATATACAAAACTTACATTGATGAATGCGAAAATTTATAATTTAATACATTTATGTTTTTTTAAACTATATGTTATTATTATATTAAAAAAATGTTAATTTAGAATGTATACCCTAAATATTAAATTAAAACAATAATTAAAGAATTGTTATAAATATTCAAAGATTTATTATTTTTTATAAACATTACGTTATACTTAATTTTTATTAATATTTTTATTGTTACTATTTGTATTATTGTTTTTAGATTTGTTTTAATTAATATTTTTGTATATTATTTTGACATTTTTAATTTGCTATTCATTACATTATGTTATTAAATTATTTTTATAAATTATATTTTTATTTAATTTTATAAACTGTTAATGGTTTTCTGTTAATTTACACTAATTTAAAAGTATGATATTGATAAGGAAAATATCAAATTGTTACAAATTTTTATATCAATTTGATACTTTTAAATTAATATGTTGACATTAGTAGTAATATTAATAGTAATTATTAATTAATTAATAGTAGTAATAGTAATTATTGTTTCT